TTTTCCTACCTTTATGTATATTCCTAATCAGAGATATATATATATAGACATAGATACACATATACATATATATGTATATATTTAGGCACACTTACTGTATTTAAAGATCTCTAATTCTGATATTAGCACTAGAGTCACACAGCAAAATTTTTAACACTTAGTTGCAGGTATATTCAGCATGGTATGTTTCATGCATGGGAGGAAAATAGGCATTGTCTCAAATTTATAGCCAGGAGCTGTGGCTCACGCCTGTAATCCCAGCACTTTGGGAGGCCGAGGTGGGCAGATCACGAGGTCAGGAGATCAAGACCATCCCTGGCCAACATGGTAAAACTGCATTTCTACTAAAAATACAAAAATTTACTTCTGACAACTTAATCTGACCAGTCCTGCTAAATATTGCTATGTTAAAAAGACAAGTAAAATCCAACTGTTTGTTGTTGCTTTTTGCCATTTGGTAGCATTTTACACACAGGCTTCGATCTTCAGAATACTCTGGATTCAATAGAAAACCTTTTAAATGACGTTTTGTACAACAGAAGTCAAAATTGTGACAAATAAAAAAATACATGTAAAATATACTTTTCTGAAAACACTTACCTTTGAACAAAGCACCAAACTACATACACAAATGCAGAATGAAAACATTTCAATTTTAGCAGAAGTAGTCATAAAAGGTGTAAAAGCCACCTCACTTTACTAGGCACAGTTCACTTTTTAAACAAAAGACAATAAAAAATATTGCCCACAGACAATATCCCTGCTGTAGGGCAGGTTTCAGAAAATCTTCAACTTCAATCACATCTACTTTAACAGAACAGAGTCCTGAAAAATGTGCTCATACCCACTTGTGGTCTATGCCAATTAAGTTCCTCCCCGGCCTAATGACCCACCTAATCTTCTTTCAGGATCATATTCAATCATCTTGCTCTCGTAGATGGTCCTCACTCGGAGCTGCCTCTTTACTGCAGCAATAAGTGGGGGTCGCTGGAATAGGGCGCCCGTCAGAGTTTCTAGGGCCTAAGAACAAACGCAAACCAAAACAACACCCTCATCAGAATGTATGTGGCCAGCAGATGCCCCTACCATGTGCAGTCACTGGTCCAGGCTGGCTATGGCAGCCGACCGAAAAGGACACAAAAGGAGTCAGCCAGGACCACTAACCCACCTCCAGACGTTTAGGGGCTCAGAGATCCAAGCTGACAAAGGGTATCCTTAGAATTGCAGACTTACCCTAGAAAGCTGGGTCCCCCCTTCAATAGCATTGTGCAGCCGGACAATCCCCACATACTCTTTGCCTGAAAAATGACAAAAGAGTAGTCAGGTGTGGCCACTGAGTTTTCTCTTTTCTGTATTTCTTATAGGCTCAGTCACTCCCATTTTGCACAGCAGGAAAAGCAGGCAGTTTGACCTTGTGTTTCTATAACATTTGCATTAAGACAGATTTCATGGTGGTGATGTGGGAAAGGAATGAAGACACTTTCTCACCGGGAATTCAATGTACTGACAAGGGCAGTTGGGAGTACCCAGTGTATAGAGCCTGCCTGGAAAATGCCTTGCAAGATAAGCAGGCTTTTCTCAGATAAAAATGAAGGAAGGACACTTTAGGCAGAAATGGTAGCACACAGTGAGAAGCCTGGGGTGACAAGCTGAGAGCTGAACTTGGGCAGAGCTCTGCCTCCAGGCTACAAATGGATCCAGTCAGCTTGATGAACTCGTGCTTAGTATTTGGAATTCCAAAAGGGACAGACCACCAAGATCTGGCAGGGGACAGAAGGCACACAGAAACAAAACAATATCCTTGCTTCAGAATTTTTTTCCCCAAATGAAGAAATAGTTTCCATCAGGCAAAACGTAGAAAGAAAATGCAGAAAGCTTCCACTCTAGCCAGTCCTTCCCTCCCTCCCCCATATACCTGCACTCTGTTGTGACTTCACCAACCGAGTGGCTCGTTCTATGCACACGATTAAACAACCAGTCACCTTGGGATCCAGAGTACCACTGTGCCCTGTCTTCTCCACCCTAAGTATCCGTCGAATCCAGGCTACCACCTCATGGGAAGAGGGGTTAGAGGGCTTGTCAAGATTAATGAAACCTGTCCTAGAATAGAAAAAAAAAATTTATGCATCACCCACTTGTGTTCCAATGAAACAACAAATCTGAAGAGTCAAAAAGAAAAAGAATTCACTGTGGGTACAGGTTATATATTCGGGACAAAGCTATTCTGACATGCTACTATCTTCTTGAATAGCTGGTGTGAAAGCATCATTTTCAAAAGAAAATAAGTTTCAACAGTGCCTCCTCCCAATGCTTACCTGATATAGTCCCCAATCTCTCTCTTCAGAGGATTTGAACCACATGCAAGAGGTGTATAGTGTGTTGTCCTTACATTCAGCTTATCAAAATTCTAGAAAGTGACAACACAACACAAAACAAAATAACATGTCATGAACACATGTAAAACGAGAGTCAGCACCACTATGTGGCCCACAAATTGGCATAGGTCTGCAAGATGAAGTACAAAAACTGAGAACTAATTGTTTACAAGCTTAGCAATCTAATATTGTGGTGGTGACATATGTTGTATTCTACAACAGTGTTGAGTGCATTGTAATTTTTTTTTTAAACTTGGTTCTTCATTTCAGATACCTTAAGGAATCCTGCTTTAAACACTATCAGTCGTTTAACACTTGGAAATAACATAAAAGCAGACATTCACCTGATGCATGATCTTAACCACATACCTTTAGCAAAAGGGGCCACTGAGACGTGTCCAACTTAGCAACTTTGGATTCAGGTTTGATAAGAAATTCTTCAACATGTTGTATTTCCTTCCACAGAAGAGAAATATAACCTATTAGACTTCCCATCTGATTTTGAATAATTCCATTGCTACCACGGAAATATGTGCCTTTTAAATAGAAAATAAGGCTTTCTATGCCTTTTCAGTGGGACCTCCAAGGGAAAGAGAGAAGAAATGAACCAGGAGTACAGAGGGGAAGTGAAATGCCACTAAGATGGGTCCAAACATTTATAGAGAAAGGGGGATGGTGGGTCTGCGGGTGGGAGAAGGAAGAGAAATTGAGAGGGAGCAGTTGGGAAGGCCAGCACCATTTAGTAAGCTCCGCCTGAAGGAGACTTGGACTGTCTGGGGCTGTCATATCAGTACTTTTTCACATCTACACAATGACCACCAATCCTGGCCCATTCTTGGAAACCTTTAAAAACACTTCTTTCCTTTAGTTTGTTATTTAAGTAAACCTTCTTTTTAGTCAAAGTGAAGTCAAACACATTACTACTCACAGCTACATCTTCTTCTGGCAATGACTTCCGCTCCTTTTTCTTCTTATGTTTCTTTGGTAAAATAATTACTAAAAAAAACAAACACAGGATTTGGGAATTTTCCCCAAGAATAAATGAGCATGAGTTTAAAATAAAAACCGAAATTAGGGCAGGTAGGAAATGGATTTTAGGTCTACAACTACAGTCACATGCCACATAATGTTTTGTTCAAGGACAG